AACGAGCTGGACGTTTGTCAGTGTGTCAGTGATTTTCGTTGACTCCGGACACATAGTATTGGTCCAGAAGTTACCCTCCATCCTAACTCTCTCACAACAGACAACCCTGATGCTTGGGTTACCCTAGCACTCGCATACTTCTTCTTTTTTCACACGGCGTGTTTACAAGGCAGGTAGGGTTACCCTAGCAAGAGGGTTACCCTACCTGCCTTGTAAATGTTCTCCTAAGGATAACTCGCTTTCCGCCGTAGTGTATGACCGGTAATCGTGCCGATTTGAACGGTATTATCTAATTTCTGAGCTTAATTGTTTTCTGTCTACGATGGTAATATTTGCCTTTTTTTCGTGAATTTAACGTGTTTTCCATAGAGAACTTCAAGACTATTTCAAATCTTGGACCGTTACAAAGAATGTCACGTATGACGAGCGGTCATCGAGGAGGTTTCTCAACGAGGGCCCGGAGGTTTTTAAAGTTTTATAATATTATTTGTGCAATGTTTGCAATATTGAATTGGAGAGGTCTTCTTATTATAACAAGAAATGACTTTGTACCATCTCAAACATTGGGAACGGTAACTGACTGGGCTGGTACCAATTATTCCACAAGCATTTGTGACTTGGCCAGCCGCCATCTTGGATTATTATCGTGTCGTCGACGTGGCATTAATACCAGTCTACTGTTTCGTCGCAAGGACTTTTCTAGGCTTGTAATGTATTACTCCAATTCGAATGCAATTTTTCAACCTGAGCTGTTAATCATCTGTGGTGATGTTAATGTAAATCTACGGCCTGTGAGTAAACGAAACCAAGCAAGGTCAACTGCTCCAACATGTCATGCTGTTGCTATAAATCAAAGACGCTTTGTCTGTTGGATGTGTCACGATATGACGCATGTCACATGTTCAAGTTCTACGGCTGATTCTCGGGTTTTCTCTGCCTCCTCGCCTGTCTCGTTGACTTGTAATCGATGTGCCTTCGCTTCATTACCATTTTTCAAGGAAAGCTCAAGCGATGATAATCTAACGCCTAGCCTAAATTTCATCCGATTACCTCGAGTCGTCATTAATACTCCCTCAGTAACATCTGAATCGACTGGCCGTTACTAGTGCTGTCCAGTGACGTAAATACTCCTTGACTTTCGCTTTCATTCACGCAAAAAGTAAAACACGATTTTCAAGTGGCAAACCGAGAAATATCGTTTGGAAATGTCTGCATGACACAGAATTGCTTTATTTTTATCGATCGTAATTCATGTTTAACGTTCAAACTATCAACTGCTTGCAGTACAACTCTGAACAGGTTGTAGTGCTATAATCAAACTCGGTCGCAATCACGCAATGAAATAAACAGTCACACGAAACACTTAGTTCAAAAACTTAATGATTTGCTTTAATTGAAATGAAGCTATTTGGTCCTTAACGAAGAAAAAAACAAGGAAACAAGAAAGAAAGGCTAACAGAATCATTACACCTGACGGTGAAAATAGCAAGAAGGTCGAATTATAACATTGATCTCAGAAAACTTCGCATAAACAAAATCACCGGCCGCCGAAACCACAAAGCGGCGCTCTAAATGAAAAACCTACCGACTCTCCGCAATGATTCTTCATTCGCAGTTCAATTTAGCATTTCACTTTCGAAGTACAAGGGCAATTTTGCTGTTTAAGATAAAGATTAAGCTTACCGAAATGTTTGAACTACACGAAAGAATACCAGGGATGCCATCAGCTGAATATCAAGCAACAATCCCGCTAAAATTTTTCATAATTATACATAATTATGCGAATGCTTAAACTGCAATCAAGCAATCAAAATCACTACCCTGTTTTCGGGTGGTGAGTGAGATCACTGGACGGCATTCACGGTCGGTCGACTCAGACGTTACTGAGGGAGTAATAACGACTCAAAGTAATCGGATGAAATTCAGGCTATCTAACGCCTTGACTTTTTCATCTGATGAATCGTCTAAAGATGTGCAGCTAAGCGACGAGGAATTTTCTACGATTCTGATGAAATATTCTAAAAACCTAAAGATTGGGCATATTAACATCAACAGGGTAGCTAGTTTCAACTTTTTTGAGCTAAGGTCCCTTATTCTCAAAAGTCTCTTCGACCTTATAGTGGGCATGATCAACAACAAATGCAAAATGGACCATTCATTTCCTGACTCGCACTTTTACATCAAAGGGTTTCGCCTGTACCGCGAAGATCGTCACCGTTTTGGGGGTGGTGTGTTCATTTATATTAGAAGAGCGCTGAGGGTGACTAAAATACATGACTTGGAGAGACATGAAGTTGAATCGATAACCCTGTGTGTGCAAACGCCCGGGAGAGCGAAAAAGGTGATTGTTATCGGAATTTACAGACCACCTGGCTTGTTAAAAGCTACATGGGAACATGAAATTAATAGCATTCTTCTCCGGTCAACTCAACGTTACGAGAGTATTATGCTAATCGGAGACCTACACTAGCCTGCGACCTCTCCCGGCCTGAAAAGGGTGCTAAAGAAGGTAAAACTCTCATGGATTTGATGGATGTATAATTATGGTCTCACCAACTTGATTAAAGTACCAACTAGTGTAGTGGTGGAATCCAGCTCGCTCATTGATGTAATTCTAAGGAACAAGCCACGTTCTCTTCTTACTTTAGGAGTGTTTGATCTTAGCCTCAGGGATCACAAGGTTATTTACACTGTTATGCGGTTACAATGTCCAAAATTCAGTCCTAGAACAATGTTGTAAAGTGCCACTTCAAGCATTATGACCCAGGATCGTTTGCAGCTGACATTGCTACAATTCCCTTCCCTGTTGCGCACATTTTTGACGACCCTGAGGATGTGTGTTGGGTATGGGGAAAATTGTTATCTGACGCCCTGGACGTGCATGTTCCAGTCAAGAGATCCATATCTAAGCATCAACATGTACCATTGATGACACCAGAGCTACTTGGCTCCCTTCGTCACCGTAACAAACTAAGAGAACTATACTTTAAGTCCAAGGATCCTAAGGACTGGGAGAAATACAGACTTCAGCGTAATCTTACTTCATCCTTAAGACGAAGGGAAATTTCAAGCTATCTCCGGTCAAGAGCAGACAATGCCAAAGGTGATCCAAAACAATTCTGGCATACCATTAAGCCCTTTATGCGTTGTAAACGAAGTAACAATGAAGTTACCTATCGCCGTAAGGAGAATAGCGTACTTGTGACTGACAAGAAGGAAGAGGCTGAGATCTTCAACAACTATTTTTCTTTTCAAAATTTAGGTGAAGAACATGATAGTGATCCTTGTGTTGCTGTGGACATTAGTGTTCACCCAAGCTTTGCTGCTATAAGAGACGAATGTGTGGTGGCTGCTCAATTTGAGTTTAATCACGTCTCAATGGCCGAAACTGAGTTAATTCTTGAGTCCTTAGATCCCAATAAAGCTACTGGTCATGATCAGAATCCTGCTCGTGTCTTACGGGATGGGGCCTCAGGTTTGGCTGCTCCTATTGCGCGACTGATTAACACTGTTATTGATAATGCTTGTGTTCCTGCTGAATGGAAACTCGCAAAGATCTGTCCTACCTTCAAGAGAGCTGATGAGTTTGATAAGCTCAAATACAGACCTGTATCCATCCTAGTACTGTTGGACAAGGTTTTCGAGAGATGTGTGCAAAAAGAGGGCTGTTCACTACTTAAACCCGTATTTGTCTAAGTTCCTTGTCAGCATATGGAAAAGGTTACAGCTGCGAGTCTGAGTTTTTGCATCTTATCGAGGACTGGAAAGGAGCTATTGACTAGAATTCTGTGGTTGGGACTATGATAATGGACTTAAGTAAAGCTTTTGATTTGATACGAGACGACTTATTACTTGCGAGGCTTACTGCTTATGGTATTTGTGCCCATAGTTTAAACTTACAGAAGAGCTATTTAACAAATTGCAGGCAACGGGTTCGAGTGGAGGACGTTACAAGTGATATCTCATATGTTAACAGCACCGTTCCTCAAGGCTCCGTTATAGGACCCTTATTGTTTAATATCTTCATAAATGACTTATTTTATTTCATCAAAGAGGCGAAGCTGTCTAACTATGCTGATGATAATCAGCTGTATTTTGCTGATACTGATCCAGATGCTGTCGAACATGTTCTCAATAAGGAACTTGTGATGGTGTGTGCGTGGTTTTGTAATAACAAGATGATCTTGAACCCCGAAAAATGCAAGGAGCTGGTTATCTCGCGAAAACCTAATGTCACGCTATCACTATTTGCTGAAGGTGTTGCCTTACCACTAGTTGATACAGTAAATCTGTTTGGGCTAACATTGGACGATTCCCTGAATTTTGGAAAACACATTACGAATATAAGCAAGAAAGTTGGAAAGCAACTAGATGTTCTTTGGAGACTAAAAAATATATTATCGTTTCGGACCAAACTCTGCTTTTATAATTCGTTGATAATGTTTCATTTTCATTACCGTCCCTCCATATGGCATCACTGTTTAAAGACTGATAGTAAAAAAATGGATAACTTGCATGAACGAGCACTTCGTTTACTTGTACAGTGACGAGTCTTCACAAACTAGCACTCTTTTTTATCGTATTGGTTACAGCCTTGTGGATCGACGTATCCTGAACTTGTTAATTATTGTATTTAAGACAATAATCAATTATCGACCTGAATATCTGAGAGACCAATTCAGGTTAAAAGACAAGTCTGCTTTCACAAAGAACAAATTTAATTCTTCCAAAAATGCGCTCCCTGTGTTCCTGATTTAACGCGAAGTAAACAAGTAAGGTGATCATGATAATATGTCACGCAACGGGCTGGACGTTTGTCCAATCCATAAATCAATTTGTCAGTGATTTTCGTTGACTCTCTATTGAACGGACACGTAGTGTCGGTCTAGAGCTTGTCTGTTCTGAGAGGGTAAGACTGTATCCGTTTTGCTTAACGAGGAGGACAATTTCTTGGGAAAATGTTGCCTAGATACTATTCATTACCTTATTTGTTCTCATAGGGTTACGACAAGATCGTGAAAGGCCTAAAGCAAACTCGTAAGCGACGGCATGTTTTAAAGGACTATTATTCGAAAATAAAGGAAATTCTTTCCGATACGCAAGGAATCTCCCTGCAAGAAGAGGCCGACTTTCTGAACAGAGCTGAAAAATGCAACAAGGATCTCAAAAACAAGAAATTCACCGTTCTCGTAGCTGGTAAGTAGATTTAAGAGTATCAATTCCCCCTATGTTTACCAAAGGCTGTGAAGACTATCAATTCCATAAAAGTCTATGAATCATATTGAATTTACATATTCCTCTAATAAATCACTTAATCTGACTGAGCTAACTAAATATAACAAAATCAGTTCCCCAGCCCAAACAAATTTATGCAAGCGGTAAAGCACCTTTCTATATAACGATAACACTTACTGACGTGGAACGACTTTTTAGTTTAACTTTATCTTCAACAGGGGAGACCAGCGCGGGGAAAAGCAGCCTGATAAACCTATTATTGAATGAACGAGTTCTTCCGACTGGCCTACTAGAGAATACCTTTACTATCTGTGAAATATCTTATGGAGCCAAGCAAGAAGCAGTCACATTTTGCTAGACAAGGAACGCCCTCTCTTAAACTAAGGAATATCAAGTCTGACACCTTAAAACAGTACATCGAAAAACCAACCAATGATAAAGATTGGTGTAAAAAAATTGAAATCAAGATACCTAATTCACTGTTGAAGGTAATTTAACAAATAATAGTCAATAGTTATGGATTCAAAATCATTTTGTACGTTTCTGGTTGTTTTTGTATTTGTACGAAGGATAGCTGGTAAGGCTTTGTCAACTTCATGAGAACGTAGATAACTGTCTAATCTATTTTTCTCATTTGGACACGTACGAAGAAGAGCTTTGCTTCCTTGGTGTAACTTCCAGCACTGTTCAAACTTAATTGTGTATTCAACTTGGTCAGCTCCCTCTAAATCTCGTAACACTCTCTTGCTTTAATCTTTCTGATTCTCTTGTAGGGAGGTGTGGTCATTGTAGACAGTCCGGGGATTGGCGATTCGGAGCAAGTCTGTAAGATTGCTTTGGAATTTTTGCCACAAGCCTTCGCCTTTATTTACGTAATCAACAGTCCGAATGCCGGGGGAATGCAAGACGACAGGGTAAGTTGAACATAGCAGCCATTTCTTAGTGACGTGCTCGTTTTAAGAAAGTACGAAGAAACGTTTTGGAAACTTTTACGCTTATGTCAGCTTTATAAGGAGTCTTAGACAAGCTGGTTCATTAACGACGTTATACCATACCTGCTGGAACAGTTGACAGACCTAAGCGTTTCATTGTGTTTAAAGGGAACAGTTGATAGACCGAAGCGTTTCAATTGTGTTTTAAGCAAAACTTTGGTTACCTTCCAGTGAGGCGGGACTGGAAACGAGAATTTCTGAAAATGAGAAGGTATTAAGTTTCGGTTGGATGCTACAGACCGACCGGAGAAACCACCTTTAGAGTTGAACCTGCGCTTTTCCCGAAAAAAATTTCCAGGTGCACCAATGGGAAGCCTCCCGCGTAGGTAGTGTTTTCCAAGGCCTCACGCAAACTAAGACAGATGGTTTTGCCGAAACATTTTGTGGTTATCTTTCAGTGTTTAAAAGTATTACTTACCATTGATAGACCGTAAACCTAAAAAATACAATGGTTTGCTTATTTATGTTTTTAGCTTATGCGTATTGTGAAGGAATGGAACAAACTCTACAGGGGAGACAAATGCAAGGGCCTCACTTCTGAGTCTGCTTTATTCGTGTGCAACAAGTGGGACGACGCGGAAAAGCAAACAAAGACCAATCTGTCAAACAAAGAAAAAATTAAAAATGAAATCATCTGCAAACTTAAGAAGAAAATCCCTAACCTAAATGAGAAATCCCAGGTAATTGAAATGTCGGTGTTCACTGCAGCCCAAATCCAGCAGAAGTTTGGTGTGATGAGTGATGATTTAAGCAGCCTCATAAATGGACTACGACGCCTTCTTCCACTTTGTCTCGAGAAGAAAACCGAGCACTTCTACAGGTAATTTGAATTTCTCAGGAGTGCTTAAAGCGAACACCTCTTTGTCAGTATTGCTCGGTTTCCATGTCGCATCATCGTACTGTAAAATCAAAACTTGCCAAGCCTTCTGAGTTCACTATCTTCAAGCATAAAGTCCCCTAAAATCTCTTGAATTTTATCTTTTTATCAATCACGCGTCAACAAAGTGCGGTCGAAGAAGTAAAGGCGTCTCCTGTCATAGAGCTGTCACGTGGAAAAAAAAAACAGTAAAAAGTGACGACTTATCCTTTGATTTGCTCTCCCTGAACAGTCAAGTGCGGGATTTGTTCTGTGTTAAGGTACGTGTAGAAATTTGGTGAACAGCTGAAACTACTGACAGCACATATCGGCAGAGACTTTTTAAAAGAGTTTTGTACTAGTTATTCAGCGGACACAATAGAGGATGAAGGGGACAGAGAAGGCATCCCCCATACACACCCTATTTCATAGGTAATTCGTCTTGAGTTATTTTTAACACCACAGTTCTCAAGGGGGACTAGACAACAGCTAATCACATAGCACGAATGTGTTCCGCGTGGATGACCCACGCTCAGAGGCACGCGTCCTTCACGAATTGACGCAGAACAAAATGGTGGAAGACGCAGAGAGCGATATTTCTATTCGTTTTGTCGGCGAAAACGACTACAGTGAGATTTCTGCTAAAGCTGTGTCAGCGAAACGGACATTAAAAAAGAATTGCCCTTTCTCTGTTGTATAGAGCTAACAGTACAGCTGAATATGCTCTCAGGATCATTTATGATTTACAGTTTGAAGCAAGCGATTTCTGGTTTTATATTTATTCTTTTATTAGTCTTTATTATTCAACAACAATAACACTTCGAGTCCTACTTTCTTTATTGCACAAACGACCGGTTTCAATAGACCGGCGAAATTTCTCATTTTTTTAAAGCACTGAGGTTACGACAACTCGAGTTAAACTGATTTCACAGGTAGTCAAAGAGTCCAGCGATTCCCTTTTCCCAGGTGAGCCCCGACTCATTTCGCTTCAATATTTAGGAAAGCTCTCGATCTCTTTAAGCTTTTATTGCCTTTCGACCGACATGTTTTGCATGGCGTTTAGTCATGCGAAGTCTCCACGAAACATCCACGCAGAGCGCGAGGTGAATTTATCCCGATTCTCAATATTAACTCGAGACGAATTACCTATGGAATAGGGTGTGTATGGGGGATGCCTCCTCTGTCCCCTTTATCCTTTCTTGGCGGACATGATCATTCACTGAACCCTTGCTAGTGTCTATTACAGAAAATATGAGAGGATATATAACACTTACGGACGTTAGTGTCCGTTTAACATGGGGTCCGTTTACGAACAGACTTTACGTATTTTAAGCTGAAACTAACTTATTTTCACAATTCACCAGAATGAATAGTGACTGTCTTAAGTCCTTATCGGATCAGGTGAAAGGTGAAGTTAACAATGCAAAACGGTCCCGAGAAGATCGACTAAAAGCTCAAAAGGACGTTGAAATGAAGCTGGAAAAACTCAAAGACGGCGCCTTCATAAAGGACACTGACAAAGCACTCTCCAGGCATGTGAAGAATATTTCCGCGCAAGTCAAGTCCTGTTTACAACAGGATGAAGTAAGAAGCGCGTTTTGCACATGGGAAAAAAAGGATCTGCCACAAATCGACGATTGTCAACGAGGGAAAGTGGAAAGACTGAAAAATATTTACAACCAAAGTCTTGAGCAACGGTTCGAAAAAATTCTACAGACCCTGGAAAAGAGGGAACAGCTATTTTCCAAGGCTCACGCTGACCTTGAGCAGAGATTTCGTCAAGGCTTCTTTGAATTTGAGAAAGACGTACGAGACATCGATCAGGTCCTTGTTGGTGAATCTACGGACGAAGTATTAGTGCAATTTGAAGACTGTTCTCTCTTGGACTCAAGAGTTAAGAAATTCATTTTCCTGACAAGTGTCGTTTTCATGCCAGTTCTGTTCCCCATTGGTTTGGCTGCAGCTGTTTTATCTGCGCCGGTAATTGGATATTTGGCCGTCGAAAGAATCCTGAACGAAAGGCATCTGAGAAACGATCCCTGCCAAGTCCTAAGAGAATTATCCACTCATTTCCTTCAGAAAAACATTGACGAAGTAATTTTCAATCGAGTTTTGCAAGAATTTACCGATGAGAGGGAACGCATAGATAGTATCAAGAGATGCTACAAGGAGCTGCTTGAGAAATATGAGAAGAAATGCAAGGATCTCACCAAACGCGAAGATGAAGAAACACGAAAAGGAACTGTCGAGATGCTTAGTCCTTTGTACACAAAGCTTGAGGATATGAGTCAAAACCTAACCTTTGATGCCATTCAGCATGGTATACGTGTGATGTCCCCTTCCTGCGAAGTCGACAAAAGGACTCTTTATTACGAGACAAGGATCGGGGGAGGCTCTTATGGTAAAGTTTACAAGGGAAGGATCAGCCTTCCAGGTCGTGAGAAAAAAGTAGCTGTCAAGAAGCTAAAAGTACCTCCACAGGCGTCAAACGTTGCTCCCTTCCTTGGAGAAGCAAATATACTGATGTAAGCGAGTTTCGTTCATAGAGGAGTTAATTCGCCTAGACTTATAGTCGATTCGCCTCAGTTGACGACTTTACTCGTAGCTGATTGTTTGGGAAATGAAGTTTTGGCTGGCTTTGGATAAAAAACGGGGCAAGGGTGAAGGGGCAGTCGGGGCTGTCCTTCGTGGTCTCAAACGCGATATTCTACGCTCTCCTTCATCCTCGTTCCCATGGTGTAACTGAATGCCTGCCTTGTGGCCTTAAATTTTGAACTAAGAACTAAAATATAAGTAAGCTTGCTGGGAAAAAGTCAACGTTCGTTCTTTGTAAACGTCGTTGGTAAACCATGTAAAAATCCTCCAGTGTGACTAATGAGTTGTACTTAAATGCGTTCAATGATAAGAGTGATCATCGCCTTGTTGTTCCGCATGTCGGCCGCGAGGTAATATAATTTTAAAATGTACGTCATATACTTTTACCTCAAAGTTGAGGGAGATTAAAATATTATTTTTTGCAGGAAACTAAAACACACCCATATAGTGGAGTTCTATGGAGTAGTTATGGATGTCAAGGACAACAAGCTGAGATTCTTGGCCCTCGTCTTTGAGTTGTGCAAGGCAAATCTCAAGAATCACATCTTCAAAAAGGAAGAGAATAAACCGTGGAGGACAAACAGCGCAGCCATTATCACATGCCGATGGGGCGTTGAAATTTTAGATGCCCTGGAATTCATTCACAGCAAGAAAATCGTTCATCGGGATCTCAAGCTGGAAAATGTTTTAGTAAGTCATTTCAATTACAGTATGTGGTCCTTAGTCCGCGCAAGTGCCTGATGCCCTTGGTCCGCGTCTTTTCCGAAAATGATAAAATATTTCGTCATGAAAAAAATATGTTGAATAATGAAAGATATTGTGATTTACTGATTAGCATTCTTTCATATGACGAATTTTCAGCTTTCTTGCTGCGGGTAGGTTAATTTGTCTTTCTTGAAGTTTGGAGGTAGTTACGAAATTTCTAACAGCTCAGTTTCCCTGATTTTGATGTAAACGTCTTCTAGGAAATTTAATCAATTCAAAGATTTTCAATCTGACCAAATACAGAGAAGCTCTCGTAAAATATTTCCTGCTCATTACCCATGAAGAACTGACGGTTTGAATTTGACACTTGTTATGGGATCGGCTAACGGATTCGTTTTTCAAATAATCAATTCATTACTAGAATCTTGGGGGGGTACGCTTGACCTGGCTTGACTGTAGACGTCAAAAACAAGTCACTGAACAGAACAAGTATAGCTTAAATAAATAAATAAACAAATAGAGTTGATTGATCGTATTGGACACAGTCCACAGTTAAGGGCACTGGCTTTAAGGGAAAGTTTTCCTGGAAACATTTCGCGAGTTTATCCAAAGGGTCAGTCGTCTAGTAGCCTGAATTGGAGACACTTTAAACCGCTGAAATTCAGTCTAAACGATGGGTGGGCCGGTTAAAACGCTGTCCTGCGAAAACAGCCGTTTCTCCTCGCTCTTCGCCCCTGCGGACCTTGCGCGCAGAGGAACGACTACGACTAATTAATGTTTACATAATATATCGGGTAGTCATGGGGTTCCACATCCCAATTTGTTCAATTTTACGTTTATCCTGGTCGATTTTACTAAAGTGTTGTGTTCATCTGTGAACGAGCTCCAGCAAAACTCAAATGTTTCTTCTAGAGAAGAGTATATTTCACCTATTTTGATTGTTTTGTGAGAGATTCATCGCATCGAGATTCATCGTTCTTCGTGGCCTTTTGTCCTTTTGTCTGTCATTCGTAAACAATACCTAAAACAATGTAACTAGTCTGTCGACCAATAAGCGCTTCTGACCGGATTCCGGACAGATTTTAAGTCGTCAGTATGGAATTTCTGTCGCTGAGTCGCAGACGTTATTCCTCGCGAAACGTCCTCAGCGGCGAAGGATGAGAAGAAACGGGTGTTTTCAGGCTATTAAAACGCAGGCTAGTCGTCAACACGACCGGATTAAACCTATTAATGACACTTCATCAAATAGCCGCCTCTCATCGTGCCCCGCCACGAAACGTCCCCAGCGACTGTGGGTGAGGAGAGGCGGTTGTATTTGCAGGCTATTTGTCAAGCAGTACCAAAAAATTCAACCAAACTACCTCGACAAAATGTTAGCTTACGAGTTCTTATCACTGATTAAAAAAAGCGTTTTAACCTTATTTGTTCACCCTTAGCACTTGTCGGGTAGACATCACTTTACAGGAATGTAACAACAGGTACATACGCGACGTATTTAAAAGGGAAATAGCTCTTTCCTATCAAACTGTAGAAACCTACGTAATATTCATTCGTTTCATTCTGCTTAAGTTGCATAAAACTTATTTTGCCTCACTTGCACTTTACACTCATTCACAGATTACCAAGATGGAGCAAATCAAAGTGGCAGACTTGGGACTGGCCACCTTTAAAAACCAGATAACGGGAACATACTGTGGCTCACCATGGTACATGGCTCCAGAGATAAGCCGCGAAAATAGAATCTACGATTCCAAGGTGGACATGTACAGCTTCGGATTGATGATGTGGGAAATGTGGTTTGGTGAAATAGTTCGTCCTGAACCGATCTCCTGCAGTCAAGACGAGGTTACCCGACAAATAAACGAGAGGAAACAACGCGCCGAAGGACGCGGAGGCACTCGCCACCCTCCTCCTACAAAATGGATCGAATTGATGGTGTGCCTTTGGAATGCCGAGCCATGCGTTCGGAAAACGGCCATGGAAAGTAAAGAATTGATGAAGGAAGTTAAACAGTCGCTGAATGAGGAAAAGCGATTTTAAACTGATCAAAGCATCCTCGTTAATATTAGCTTTTTCATGTTCACATTGCCAGTCGTGACGACCATTTTTTCTCAATTTTTTTATGCGGTATAGCTTAATGCCAAACGCGGTAACACTTACAAGAGACGTACCGGATCGTTTTGATCAATTTCCCGATAGAATTGGCCAGGAAGAATTGGTCGGATTTTTCAAAATGAAATTTTGCTGTCTATAAGCCTCTACGAGCATTGGGGGTGTTGGCGGGGAGGGAATGCAGCAGAACATTTGTAATGCGCTCTTTTCAAATAGCTTTTTAGAAATCTTCTCGACTATTTCAGCCATGTTACCCTATAAATGGCGTTTTTTAGCTTGTGTGAAGTTTTGATTTGTGATTGTTAGAGTGAAAAACCTTTCATAAGGGGTGAAAATATTCTCATTCAATTGGCCTTGTTTTTGTCACATTTTTACATACTATTTGAATTTTAGTTCAGTTAAAGGGGCTATTTTCTGAGGGCCAATAAAATCAAGATTCCACTTTGTGCGTTATGCTAGCATTATTCGAGCATTTTATGGAAAAACATTTTTGCTGAGAAAAATAAAAATTAAAAACAGTTTCACCACAAAATAAAGCTGTGTACAAGAAACGTTTTTGTTGTGTTATTAAAAATTATAATAAAGTTAAGATACAACGTGCACTCTGATTGGTTGAAAACGCATGGTTTATGAGAGTACAAAACACGGAGCTAAATGTGTCACGCCATCTGTGAATCACACCATGCGGTGGTTTTCAAGACAAAAGTTTTGCGTTTAAGAGTTAAAAATACACTGTTAAAAGACACAAATGGAAAGGAAAAGTTCAAAAGAATGCTCAGTTTTCTTGGTTACGAAATCGTCTTTTGACGAATTCAACAATGTTTTCTTCGTGGCGGAGCGCAAAATGTCCTGTTTTGAAATTCATTCACGGCAACGAGGTTTTGGAAGACTTTTCAAGTACATTTTTTACTCTAAGGTCAAGAAAATTACGTTTTTAAAAGGGAATTGTCATGTTAATGACGTCCAGATTTTCATGGGCCGCAATTCGGCTGGTTTTATAGCCACTTTTTACCTTCGGAAACTGTTTGTACATTTCTTCTGCATTCAAATTCACAGAACGTTTCGCTCGTTTTACTTAGTGATAGCTTTGATGCTTTGACCGCTTTTGTCATATTTAACCAATGAAATCATTTGGCCCATTCTAAAAAGGAGTGTCATTTGCTAATTTAAGCATTAAAAAGTGGGGAAAAAACACTCGACTAAGTCTCGTGTTTTCCCCTACACTTCTTCCTAACCTGTGTAGCAGGCGTCTAAAGGGGTAAGGGGATATGGGGACGTAAGGGAAATAGGGAGGGAGATTGGGGAGAGAGGGTAAGGGACGCCTGCTAAAAAAACCCCTTTTGTTCATTTCTGCGGACGCTGGCGTCTGTAAATTCCAACCTTGTTCCCAGGGTTCTCTCCTATCCGCCCCTACAGAGCGAGAGAGAGAGACGGGTAGGAGAGAGGTCCTGGGAACGAGGTTGCGTAAATTCTTGATTGACTGAGTCGTAATAAGTAACTTATTGGCGTGTATCCTGGCGTGTATTCGTCAGTAAATCTGCATTTCACCCCATTAGATCAATTTCAACAATTTGAAAGTTTCTCAGTGTGGAAACCGCTAAGACTTTTGTGCACGCTTTTGTGACTTCTAAATTAGATAATTGTAACGCACTCTTGTATGGACTTCCTGAGTATAAGATCCAGCGCCTGCAATACGTGTGACCTCTACCGCTAGGCTAATTACATTGTCTAGGAAGCATGATCACATATCCCCAGTACGAACGGAGCTTCCATGGTTGCCAGTTGACCAGCGCGTAGAAGTTAAGATCTTGTTATTTACATGTAAAGTGGTAAATGGTATGGCACCTGTATATCTCCAGGATCTACTGGACTTTTATAGACCTTGCCGTAGCTTTAGATCAGGAAAAAAGCAGCTTCTGAGGACACAATCTTATAATTTAAAATCGCACGGGTTCAGGGCATTTTCTATATGTGCCCCCTAACTTTGGAATGCCGTTCCACGGGGGCTAAGAGAGTGCGATTCTGTAGTAGTTTTAAGAAAGCCCTGAAGACGTTTCTTTTCAAAAGGCTTATTGTTGAGTAAACAACAATAACGTATGTTGGAGATTGGTCCCAAGATTTTGAGATTCTATTTAAGTCATTTTTTCAATTTTTTATTTATTAAGGCAATTTTCAATTTTTTTATTAATGTGAAGTGCTTGGGGACTCTTAAGGGATAGGCTCCATATAAATAAATTGTTATTGTTATTGACAAACATGATGCAATCATTAAGGAAATGTGTTTTACGGGCATAAGCTTTGGAAGATCAAAATTACTCCAGTCATGTAGCAACCTTACGTTAAAACCCGAACTGGAACCAACTGTAATAGCTTGTTTCTGTTGTTTAGCAATCAGAGATGCTCAGGAGGTTTTGTTTTCTAGATTTGTCCAAACACCGAGGGTAGTTTCGAAAACGAAGACCGAAGCAGGAAGCACCCAAATCTCGAAAACGAAGCACCTAGGTCTCGAAACCTGTCTCTCCTTTAAAAGCACGAGAGAGTCCCTTTACAAGTCACCAAATAAAAATGCTAATGCAACAGGAATCAAGCACGATAACGAATAGAATGCAGTTCAAAACTATTCACGTAAAACTGCGAGGTGTTGCAAATGCATTTCCGCCGCCTTGGCTAAGGTATGGGTCGCAATCAATTTGTCATCAGAGGACATTGCTAAGTGCGACCCTAAGTTTTCAGGTTGGAAAAACTTTGAAAATTGGCAAAAACATCAAGGGAACCATCGGTGGCATAAAAAGCATGTCTCCAGGCTTCGCCCCACTGGCCGCCTTCTCCCTTCTTTCCAATAGCTTAACTCGCCATTTTATTTCTCTCCCTTTATATAGTCCCCAGGCGTTTTGGACTTGGTCATTCCTTGACTCTGCCATGAGCTGTGACGTCACCAAGAGATACTCGCCCGCTCTCACCCAGGCTTCGCGCGGACAACGGATCAAGAGAGATCGACTAGGGACTAGGCTGGTCCCAGGCTATTACCCGAGAACAAATTTTGCCCGGATCTGATTTGGGTATCACGTAGTGTCATAGATACCCAATATGTCGTCATAAACATGTATGTGTACCGAAAAAATGCATATTAAGATCAGATGTATCAAGTATCGCGATACTAATAATACAGGACTTCCTATCTAGAAACGTTCAGTTAAACAGTTCGCGGGCTTAAAATAAAATCTTGGAATAGATTTGTGGACTTTTGGAGGTGCGGACGAATGCGTTGCCTCCACCTGGTTCGGCTTGCGTCATGCAAGACTTAATGTTGTAGTTCTTCAACCTACAGTGGTTTCGAGATTTGGGTGCCTCGTTTTCGAGATTTGGGTGTTCCGTTTTCGAGTCTTGGGTGCTTTGTGCTCCGGCTTCGTTTTCGAAACTACCTACGGTTCTTGCCAGACATCTGCAATGCTTACATTCACAAGACCACCTTTTCCGCAAATACATATACCTTCGTATGGTTTTTAAAGAGAGAACTGGTAAAAACTATCCGTTGAGCTTTTTGACAATTGTATATAATTCCCCTTTCATTATTCGCTTCTCAGGCTGGCGACTGTTCTGTTCTTTGTGACCATTTTGTTTGATGAGGTAAGACCAAAAGTCAGGTGTATTCATACGAAACTGAACATTGTTTGTCGTAGAAAAAAGAGAAACTCCTCGTAGTCTAGATTTGTTGCGTTTGCTGCAAGAACAGTAAAAATGTTTTATTTCGCTCGATTATGATATCACATGAAAAAAGCGTCTCAACTTTACAATTTCCGGTAATCAAAGTAATTAAGTTCGGACCATGCTGAGAAGCCCCCTACCTGTGATAGGTCACGTTTTGACAGTTGACGTTATCGTGATGGTGTGCGGGATAAAAAAACACCGGCTCTTATAGCAGGCGCTCCCTTCCCTTTTAATACTCCGCTTTCGCACTTTTCTCCCTCCCCCTCCCCCTCCACCTTTTGCACCTGCCACGCGGGCACTTTCTTCGTGCTCTAGCCAATTCCTGTGTGCTTTACAACAGAACAAAGCACAGTCAAGGCTTTTCTACTTTTTAACTATTAACTTGTATATATTGTTGTTATACCACTTATACACTTGTGTTAGCCCTCTTAAACTTTTAGAATCAATACAAAAAAGCCTCTCGACGAGAAGCATTATCCGCTCATTGTAATGACTTGTACTTTTTGGGGGTGACCGCGCATTTTAGTGGGAAAAATGGAACAATAAGATAGATCATTTTAGTGGGGAAACAAAAGAGTTATATGAAAAACCCGTGAGCATGTGTTTCGGTGGGATATATTGTTTGGCCAAATTTTGCCACAAGTAGGTACCGGTGTATTGAAACAGTCAAACGCCGCGAAAATGCGGCCGAATGATACAATTGCACTCTTGTCACTGGCTTCGGATTTCCTCCAACTTGGCTCTGATTCAAGCAATCGCGAGCTTGGCTCGGTCGGCTGGTTTTCTCGTTTCGGATTAACACTGACTCAGTAGCGCCATCGACTTGAGCACGATAAAAAAGGGCCGCCGATAATTTTTCTTTTAGAGAGGACGCCTTTCCAACAAGTTCACTCAGCGTTTTAGTGGGATAAATCAATAGAGAGAAAACCGTTTACAGTACAACCCAAAAAACGGCCATAAATCGGCCCATGGACCACACAGGAGAAATGTAACACACATTTCATGTAAGGTAAGCTGTTTCTTATTGAAATCCTATTATTTCCGTAGGAAATGATAGGTTTTTTCCCATACAAATCCTTATATTTGGAATGTTATGCAACAATGCCGATGATCGCCGATGCCCGTATTTCGAGCTTGGGCTACCTCTGATCTACCTGTCTGGTCCTCATGTCCAACCGCAGGTAGGATTCCGTTGGGAAGAGGTAAATTGATAGGGGGATATTAGGGAGCTTCCCGGTTGGTGCTCTCTATGATAACCTATACGGGACGGCTCCGCCTGAAAGGGGGACCTTTTTCAGGCTTCAGGAATATGAAAGGGTAGGGATTTCACTGGTTGAAGTATATAAAAGGGTAGGGAAATCTGTCATTTGGGTCTGTGAAAGGGCCCAAAAGGGCCAACAGATCAATTTTATGGCTTTATAAAGTCGAGAAAACGTTCTATTTAATCTAGCAGCAGTTAAAGGAATGCAAAGTTCTAACAAAGGTGAAAGGGGTACTACTTTTCAATAGAGGGTATACAAAAGGGGTACCTTTTTTCGTGAAAAATAGTATATAAAAGGGTGACGGGTTGGACCTGGGGTCAAGCCTCCTTGTATAAACATTTCTTGAGTACCTCTCCCCCCGGGGGGGGAGCTTAAGCAACATCGATAGCGATGGCTACGAAAACGTCACTTACAAAGTGAAGTCGCGCTGCTTCAAACTTTATATCGCTTATTCCACCTCGTTCAATTCGTCAAATGTTGGCAATTTTTACTGAAGTTGAATTCTAACAGAATTCAGAGAAAGAAAAAGCAACTCGTTGCCTTGCGTTCACGACCTCCACAAAACGAATGCTAATATGTTTTCACTTCATTTTTGACCACTTCAGTTTTACATTTGACTAAATGCTGTAACTGCGGTCAGTGCATTTGGCTTCAAGTTAAAAGAATTTCCTTGGTTTTTGCCAAGGTTCAGCCTGAAGGTTCTTTTACCTGAAGTTTTTTTAAATATCTTTTCTGCTGCTGAGGGGTTTCAAGTGATCCTCCCAGTCATAGAGGACTCACAGAGCAAATCGAGGACAATATTCAGCTCGTCCCCATATCGTTGACTCAGGAACTTGGAACTCAGCAAAAGCCGGCCTCCAAAGTTCTGAACAAAACAGATAAAATTGAAATGTGGATGACTCTCTCTCTACGTGTTGTGTCTTGTGGCTCGCTATTTAGGACCTTGTGCCGATAGATGCTGCGAGGTAGGAGGATGGTTTTAGCCCAGTTTTCAGTGAAAACCTCTCTCCCTCAACAACAAAAACAACAACAAAAGTACTAAATACATATTAATTACGAGCAACAAGAGGAGCCCACAATCCTAGTCTCCAGGCTGTTAATACAAATGCGTCGCCTGTATGTAGCCAGCATTCACTTGGACTTCCACTCAGAATGAATGGAATGCAAGAGAGGCAATTTGAAATCTGCCCAACCGTGTTTTGACTCTCATCAGTGAAACTTACGCAAACAACAGCGATGGAGCAAAAGCGTTTTGACATTCGATCGTTGTCGCCGCACTGCGTAACGTCTGGTTATTACTAGTAATAACAATATTTTAAAAATAATTAACGCTCAAGTTCCAAAGAGTGTCGTAAGAGGAAAGTAGTAAGAAAATAATGGTCTTTGGATTCTTGTTGTTATTTTATTTGAAGTCGTTACTTTTAACATTATTATTACTCGGCTTAGAAAGATGTAGTTTCATTAATCAGTAACCCCTTCTTCCAGGAAACTTTAAAATTTTCCATTTTCCCAAAGGGGTTAAGTCCATGATTTCTTCACAACGCTCTTTAACCCCCTGTAAGCACTTGTGACGCCTTCTAACCCCCTGTAAGCCCTTGTAATCCCTGTAACCCCTTGTAAACCCTCGTAAGCCCCTGTAACCCCTTGTAGCCCCCTGTAATCTATTGTAACCCCATGTAACCCACTGTAAGCCGTTGTAACCCCTTGTAACCCTTGTAACCTCTTGTAACCCCTCTGAAGTCCCTCTAACCACTTGTGAGCCCCTGTAACCCGTTGTAACTCTTTGTAGCCCCGTGTACCCGTTGTTACCCTGTAAGCTCTTGTTACCCCTTGTAACCACTTGTAATCCCCTGTAGTTCCCTGTTGTAGTCCATTGTTACCTCTTGTAACCGCCTGTAACTCCTCGCAACCCCTTTTAAGCCCCTGTAACCACTTGAAACCCCTTGTACCCCCTGTAACGCCTTTTAAGCCCCTGTAACCCCCTGTAAGCCCTTGTAACCCCTTGTAACCTCCTGCAACCTTTTGTAACCCCTTGTAAGCCCCTGTAACAACTTGTAACCCTTGTAAGCCTCGGTAAACCCTTGTAACCCCCCGTAAGCCCTTGTAACCCCTTGTTACCTCTGTAACCTTTTCTAACCGCTTGAAAGCCCCGTGTAACCACTTGTAACCTCTTGTAACCCCCTGTAACGCATTGTAAGCCTCTGTGGTAACCCCTTGTAAGCCCCTGTAACCCATTGTAACCCTATCTAACCCCTTGTAACCTTCTGTAACCTTTTGAAGCCCCTTGTTACCCCCTGTAAGACCTTGTAACCCCTTGTAAGCCCCTGTAAGCCCTTGTAACCCATCATAACCCCCCGTAACCCCTTAGAACACGTTGTAAGCCTTTTAACCCCTTGTAGTCCCCTGTAACTCTTTCTAACCCCCTAAAAACTCTAAAAACCTCTTGTAACCGTCTGTAACTGTTTGTAATACTTTTTAAGCCTCTGTACCCACTTTCAACACCTTGTGAGCTCTGTAACGCATTGTAACCATCAGTTGTTCCACTGTTCCACCATCACATGTTCTACTATTTCACCATCTCTGTTCCACTGTTCCACCATCACTGTTCCATCATCAGAGGTTCTACTGTTCCACTAATCCACTATTAGATGTTCTACTGTTCCAATATCAGACGCTAAACTGTTCCACCATGACCGTTTCACCTTTCCACCATCTCTGGTCCAATGTTCCACGATCAGATATTGCACTGTTCCATAATCAGAAGTTCCACTGTTTTACCATTAGATGTTCCACTGTACCACCATGATTGCCCCACGTTTCCACCATCACATGTTCTACAGTTCCATCATACCATATTCTTCTGTTCCACCGTCTCTGTTCCACTGTTCCACCATCACATGTTCCACTGTACCACCATGAGAAGTTCTACTGTTATACCATGATTGTTTCACTCTTCCACCATCAGATGTTGTACTGTTCCACCATCAGACGTTCCACAGTCTTACCAATAGATGTTCCACTGTCTCACCATGATTGTTCCACTTTTCCACCATCAGATCTTCTACCAACAAATGTTCTACTGTTCCACCATGATTGTTCCACTGTTCCACTATCAGATGCTGTACTGTTCCACCATCTCTGTTCCACTGTTCCACCATCAGATGTTCCACTGTTCCACCATTAGATGTTTCACTGTTCCGGTATGATTGTTCCTCTGTTCCACCATCAAAGGTTCTACTGCTCTACCATGATTGCTCCACTGCTCGACCATCAGATGTCCTACTGTTCAACCATCTCTGTTACACTGTTACAAACTCAACTGTTCTACTGTTCCACCATCACATGTTCCACTGTTCCACCATCAATTCTTCTAGTCTTCCACCACGCTTGTTCCACTATTCAACCATCAGAGATTCTACTGTTTCACTGTTCCACCATTAGATGTTCTACTGTTCACAATCAGATGTTCCACTATTTCACCATCGGATGGTCCACTCTTCCACCATGAGGTGTTCTATTGTTCCACCATGCCCGTTTCACTGTTCCACCATCAGATCTTCTACTATTCCACTATCTCTGCTCCGATGTTCCACGATCAGATGTTTCACTGTTCCACCATCAGAAGTTCTACTGTTTTACCATTAGATGTTCCATTGTACCACCACGATTGCTCCACGTTTCCACCATAAGATGTTCTACTGTTCCATCATAACATTTTCTACTGTTCCACCATCTCTGTTCCACTGTTCCACCATAAGATGTTCCACTGTTCAACCTTCAGAAGTTCCACTGTTTTACCATTAGATGTTCCACTGTACCACCATGATTGCCTCACGTTTCCAACATCACAGGTTCTACTGTTCCATCATAACATTTTCTGCTGTTCCACCATCAGATGTTCCACTGTTCCACCATGAGATATTCTACGTTATACCATGATTGTTCCACTGTTTCACTATCAGACGTTCTACTCTTCCACCATAATTGTTCCACTGTTTAACCATCACAGATTCTACTGTTCCACTCTTCCAACATTAGATGTTCTACTGTTCCACAATCAGCTGTTCCACTATTTCACCATCAGATGTTCCACTGTTCCACCATGAGGAGTTCTATTGTTCCACCATGATTGTTTCACTGTTTCACCATCAGATGTTCTATTGTTCCACCATGATTGTTTCACTGTTTCACCATCAGATGGTCTACTGTTCCACCTTCGCTCTTGCAATGTTCCTCCATCAGATGTTCCACTGTTCCACTATGAGATGTTCTCCTGTTCCACCATAAACGGTTTACTGTTCCACCATCAGATGTTCTACTGTTCCTTCATCAGACGTTCCCCAGTTTTACCAATACATGTTCCACCGTTTCACCACGATTGTTCCACTTTTCACCTCCAGATGTTCTACTGTTCCACCATCTCTGTTCCACTGTTCCACCATAAGATGTTCCACTGTTCAACCTTCAGAAGTTCCACTGTTTTACCATTAGATGTTCCACTGTACCACCATGATTGCCTCACGTTTCCAACATCACAGGTTCTACTGTTCCATCATAACATTTTCTGCTGTTCCACCATCAGATGTTCCACTGTTCCACCATGAGATATTCTATGTTATACCATGATTGTTCCACTGTTTCACTATCAGACGTTCTACTCTTCCACCATAATTGTTCCACTGTTTAACCATCACAGCTTCTACTATTCCACTCTTCCAACATTAGATGTTCTACTGTTCCACAATCAGCTGTTCCACTATTTCACCATCAGATGTTCCACTGTTCCACCATGAGGTGTTCTATTGTTCCACCATGATTGTTTCACTGTTTCACCATCAGATGTTCTATTGTTCCACCATGATTGTTTCACTGTCTCACCATCAGATGGTCTACTGTTCCACCTTCGCTCTTGCAATGTTCCTCCATCAGATGTTCCACTGTTCCACTATGAGATGTTCTCCTGTTCCACCATAAACGGTTTACTGTTCCACCATCAGATGTTCTACTCTTCCTTCATCAGACGTTCCCCAGTTTTACCAATACATGTTCCACCGTTTCACCACGATTGTTCCACTTTTCACCTCCAGATGTTCTACTGTTCCACCATCAGATGCTGTACTGTTCCACCATCTCTGTTCCACTGTTCCACCATCAGATGCGGTACTGTTCCACCATCTCTGTTCCACTGTTCCACCATCACGTGTTCCACTGTTCCACTATCAGATGTTGTACTGTTTTACCATTAGATGTTCCATTGTACCACCACGATTGCTCCACGTTTCCACCATAAGATGTTCTACTGTTCCATCATAACATGTTCTACTGTTCCACCATCTCTATTCCACTGTTCCACCATAAGATGTTCCACTGTTCAACCTTCAGAAGTTCCACTGTTTTACCATCACATGTTCCACTGTTCCACCATGAGTGTTTCACTGTTCCACTATCATATGTTGTACTGTTCCACCATCTCTGTTCCACTGTTCTACAATCAGATGTTCCACTGTCCCACCATGAGATGTTCTACCGTTGCACCATGATTGTTCCACTGTTCCACTATTAGATGTTGTACTGTTCCACCCTCAGGTGTTCCACTGTTTCATCATCAGATGATCCAGTGTTTCCCCATCAGATGTTCCACTGTTCCACCATCAAATATTCCACTTTTCAAGCATGAGATCTTCTACCTTCTGATCATTTCTGTTCTCCTGTTTAACTTTCATACGTTCTTCTGTTCCACCATCAGATGTTCCACTGTTTAACCGTCAAATATTTCACTCTTTCAGCATGAGCAGTTCTGTCTTTTGATCATTTCTCTTTCACTGTTCCACCATCAGATGTTCTTTTGTTCCGCCATGATTGTTCCACTGTTCAAAATATTAGATGTTCTACTTTTCCACATCATATGTTCTACTGTTCCACCATCGGATGGTGTTCTGTTCCATCATAATGTTCTAATTTTCAACCACCTCCGTTCCACTGTTCAGCCATGATTGTTCCACTGTTACACCATCAGATGTTGTACTGTTCCACAATCAGATGTTAGACTGTTCAACCATGGTCGGTCCACTCTTCCACCATCAGATTTTCTTTTCTTCCACCATGATTGTTCCACTGTTCCACCATTAAATGTTATTCTGTTCGACAATGAGATGTTTTACTGTTCCACCATCACATGTTCCACTTGTTTACTATTAGTTGTTCCACAGTTCCACCATGATTGTTCCTGTTTTCCACCATTGGATGTTGTACTGTTCAAACATCTCTTTTCCACTCTTTCACCATCAGGTATTTCACTGTTCCACCATGAGATGTCCTACTGTTCCACCACTATTGTTCCACTGTTCCTCCATCTCTTTTCCACTGATTCACCATCAGATCGTTTACTGTTCCACCATCAGATGTTCCACTGTTCCACCATTAGATGTTTCACTGTTGCACCATCAGGTGTTGTACCATTCCGCCATGATTGTTTCACTGTTCCGCCATCATATTTTCTACTTTTCCACAATCTCTGTTTCACTGTTCCACCATCAGATGTTTCACTGTTCCACCATCAGATGTTCTACTGTTCAGCCATCAGATGTTCAACTGTTTTACCATTAGATGTTCCACTGTACCACCATTATTGCCCCACGTTTCCACCATCACATGTTCTACAGTTCTATCATAACATTTTCTACTGTTCCACTGTTCCACCATCAAAGGTTCTACGTTATACCATGATTGTTCCACTGTTTCACTATCAGATGTTCTACTCTTCTACCATAATTGTTCCACTGTTCAATCATCACAGATTCTACTTTTCCACTCTTCCAACATTAAATTTTCTACTATTCCACAATCAGATGTTCCACTATTTCACCATCAGATGTTCCACTGATCCTGGAACAGTGGAACAGAGATGGTGGAACAGTACAACATCTGATAGTGGAACAATCATCGTGCAACAGTGGAACATTTGATGGTGGAACATCTTATGTTGGAACAGTAGAACATCTGGTGGTGAAAAGTGGAACAATCGTGGTGAAACGGTGGAACATCTATTGGTAAAACTGGGGAACGTCCGATGGTGGAAGAGTACAACATCTGATGGTGGAACAGTAAACCAAATATAGTGGAACAGTAAAACATCTCATAGTGGAACGGTGGAACATCTGATGGTGGAACATTGCAACAGAGAAGGTGGAACAGTAGAACATCTGATGGTGAAACAGCGAGACAATCATGGTGGAACAACAGAACACCTGATGGTATCATCAGGTGTTCCACTTCTCCACGATTAGATGTTTCACTGTTTTACCATTAATGCTTTCACTGTTCCACTATGATTGTTACACTGCTCCACCATCAGAGGTTCCACCGTTCTACCATGACTGCTCCACTGCTCCACCATCAGATGTTCTACTGTTCAACCATTTCTGTTCCACTGTTCCACCACGAACTGTTCCACTGAAGCACCATCCATTGTTCTACTCCTCCACCACTATTGTTCCACTCTTCAACCATCAGAGATTCTACTGTTCCACTGTTCCACCATTAGATGTTCTACAGTTCAACAATCAGATGTTCCACTGTTCCACCATCTCTGTTCCACTTTGTCATCATTAGATGTTCCACTCTTCTACCATGAGCTTTTCTACCATTTGATCATTTCTCTTTCACGATTCCATCATCAGATGTTCTACTGTTTTACCAATAGATGTTCCACTATTTCACCATGATTGTTCCACTTTTCCACCTTCAGATGTTCTACTGTTCCAATATAAGATGTTCTACTTTTTTAACGTCTCTGTTCCACCTTTCCACCATCAAATGTTATACTGTTCCACCATGAGATGTTCTACTGTTCCACCATGATTGTTCCTCTCTTCCACCATCAAATGTTGCACTGTTCCACCATATCTGTTCCAATGTTCCACCACAGGTGCTCTACTGTCCCACCATCAGATGTTGCATTGTTTTACTATAGATATTCCACTGTACCACCATGATTGTTACACTTTTCCTCCATCAGATTTTCTACTGTTCCATCAAAAGACGTTCTACTGTTCCACCATCTCTGTTCTACTATTCTACAATCAGATGTTCCACTCTTCCACCATGAGATGTTCTACTGTTTTTTTTTTCATTTGCTATTCCAAATTACAACAATTACAATTATTATCACAAAGCATACACGCACAAACTTACTACACACCTAAGCACACGTGCAATTCCACAATTACCACATAAGGTAATGCCTACTGTTATTTTACAAGTGTTATTCAAAAAAGAAGAAACCAATCATTGTTTTTCAAAAGAAGAAAACCTACCTAGATTACAAAGTCCATTTGTCCATTAATTTTTGTAAATTCTTATTCTTAGTACAAATATATTTTTCTATTTCATATTTACCATTTATTCTAACTATAAAACTGTTTATGGTTGGGAGTAGTTCATTCCTTCCGCAACTCCATAAATATATTTTCCCTATAAGTATAAGATAATTAAGCAAGTTATGTGAACTAGTTGTTTTCGCAACCCAAAATAATATGATTCAATACATTTCCAGAATGAATTCGAATAAGGGCAGTCCCAAAAGAAATGTCTAATAGTTTCTGATTCCCTTTTGCAAAAAGAGCACAAGTTGTCTGTCCTGTACCCAATCTTGAACAACTTTGAGTTGGTAAAAAGTATAGAATTAAGTATTTTAAATTGAAAGGCTTTGACATAAGTTTCAAACGCGATAGAATTGTACTGTTGCACCATGATTGTTCCACTGTTCCACCATTAGATGTTGTACTGTTTCACCCTCAGGTGTTCCACTGTCTCACCATCAGATGATCCAGTGTTTCCCCATCAAATATTCCACTTTTCCAGTATGAGATTTTCTACCTTTTGATCATTTCTGTTCTACATCAGATGTTTTTTTGTTCCACCATGATTGTTTCACTGTTACAAAATTAGATGTTCTACTTTTCCACATCATATGTTCTACTGTTCCACCATCACATGGTGTACTGTTCCATCATGATGTTCTAATGTTCCAACACCTCTGCTCCGCTGTTCAACCATGACATGTTCTACTGTTCCACCTTGATTGTTTCACTGTTCCACCATCAGATGTTGTACTGTTCCACCATCAGATTTTAGACTGTTCAACCATGGTTGGTCCACCATGATTGTTCCACTGTTCCACCACTGATGTTATTCTGTTCGACAATGAGATGTTCTACTGTTCCACCATCAGATGTTCCACTTGTTTACTATTAGTTGTTCCACAGTTCCACCATGATTGTTTCACTGCTCCACCATCAGATTTTCTACTTTTCCACCATGAGATGTTGTACTGTTCCACTATGATTGTTTCACTATTCCACCATCATATGTTCTACTATTCAGCAATCAAATGTTTAACTGTTTTACCATCAGACAGTTCACTGTTCCACCATGAGATGTTTTACTCTTCCACCATGATTGTTCCACTGTTCCACAATCAGATGTTGTACTGTTTCACCATATCTGTTTCACGGTTCCACCATTAGATGCTCCATTGTTTTACCATTTGATGTTCCACTGTACCACCATGATTGGTCCACTTTTGCACCATCGGATATTGTACTGTTCCACTATGACATGTTCTACTCTTTCACCATCTCTGTTCCACTGTTCCACCATGATTGTTCCAGTGTTCCACCATCAAGGGTTCTACTGTTTCACTGTTCCACCATTAGGTGGAAAATCAGATGCTAAACTGTTCCACCATCAGACGTTCCACTGTTTTACCATTAGATGTTCCATTGTACCACCATGAGATGTTCTTCTGTTCCACCATGATTGTTCCACTATTCCACTATTAGATCTTGTACTGTTCGACCATCAGGTGTTCCACTGTTCCACCAACAAATGATCCACTGTTTCCCCATCAGATATTTCACTGGTCCACCATCAAATATTCCACTCTTCCAGCATGGGATGTTCTACCCTTTTATCATTTCTGTTCTACTGTTTAACTTTCGTATGTTCTACTGTTCCACCCTCAGATGTTACACTGTTCCACCATCAAGTATTCCACTCTTCCAGCATGAGATGTTCTTCCTTTTGATCATTTCTGTTTCCCTGTTCCACCATGAGGTGTTCTACTGTTCCACCATGGTTGTTTTACTGTTCTACCATCAGATGTTGTAGTCTTCCACAATCAGATGTTTCACTGTTCAACCATGGTTGTTCCACTCTTCCACCATCAGATGTTCTTTTTTTCAACCATGCTTGCTCCACTGTTCCACCATTAGATGTTCTTCTGTTCGACAATGAGATGTTCTACTGTTCCACTATCGGATGTTGCACTTGTTTACTATTAGTTGTTTCACCATGATTGTTCCACTTTTCTACCATCAGATGTTGTACTGTTCCACCGTAAGATGTTTTACTGATCCAACATCTCTGTTCCACTCTTCTACCATCATATGTTCCACTGTTACACCATGAGATTTCCTACTGTTCCAACATGATTGTTCCACTGTTCCTCCTTCTCTTTTCCACTGTTTCACCATCAAATGGTCTACTGTTCCACCATCAGTTGTTTAACTGTTTCACCATCAGATGTTTCACTGTTTCACCATGAGGTGTTGTCCTGTTCCACCATGATTGTTTCACTGTTCCACCATCAGATTTTCTACTGTTCCACCATCTCTTTTCCACTATTCCACCGTCAGATGTTCTATTATTTTAGCATTAGATGTTCCACTGTTTCACCATGATTGTTCCACTTTCCCACTGTCAGATGTTGTACTGTTTCACCATCTCTGTTCCACTTTCGACCATCAAATGTTCCACTGTTCCACCATCAGAAGTTCTACTTTTCCACCATGATTGTTCCACTGTTCCACCATCAGACGTTGTACATTTCCACTCTCAGATGTTCTACTGTTTTAACATCAGATGTTTCACTGTTCCACCCTTAGATGTTCTACTCGTCCACCATGATTGTTCGACTTTTCCTTATCAGATGTCCTAGTTTTCCACCTTCTCTGTTCCACTGTTCCACCACCGAGGTTCCAGTGTTCCACCATCAGATGTTTTACTGTTCCAGCATCACATGTTTTACTGTTCCACTATCTGTCTTCCACTGTTTTACCATGAGTGTTCCACTCTTCCACAATCTCTTTTCCACTGTTTCACCACGAGTTGTTGCACTGTTCAACCATCGTATGTTTTACTATTCCACCATCTCTGTTCTACTCTTCCACCATGATTGTTCCACTGTTCGACCATCCGATGTTTTACATTTCTCCTCTAAGCACTTGTATCCCGTTGTGACCCATTGTAACCTCCTGTAAGTTCTTGTAACCCCTTGTAAGCTCCTGTAACCTCTTCTTACCTCTTGCAACCCGTTGTAACGCCTTGTAGGCTATTTAACCCGTTGTAAGCCCTCTCAAACCCTTGTAACCCTTTGTAACCCCCTGTAAGCACCTGTAACCCTTTGAAAGCCCTTGTTCCCCCCTGTACGCCCTTGTAACCCCGTGTAAGCCCCTGTAACCCAATTTATTCACCTTTAACTGCTTTTTACCCCCTAGGACCGTTGTAATCTCTTGTATCCGCCAGTAACCCGTATTGACCCCTTTTAAGCCCCTGTACCCACTTGTAACCCCCTATAACCCCGTGTAACGCATTGTAAGCCCCTCTAACCCTTTGTAACCGCAATTTCCGATTAAACAAGTGTCGACTTCAAAACCCCTAGATGTTCACATCGATGGAAATTTTTCGTGGGAGTGTCATATTAATGAAATCTCTAAGAGAATTTTTTTTTTGGCATAAGTCCGATTAACAGATTAACACTGACAACACTGAAAACGCTGACAATGGTGACAACAGAGAACAACAGTGACAACGATGAAAACAATGACAAATGTGACAACGGTCACAACGGTGACAATAGTGACAACAGTGACAATGGTGACAACAGTGATAACAGTAATAACGGTCAAAACAGTGACAACAGTGACAACAGTGACAACGGTGACAACAGTGACAACAGTGACAATTGTGACAACGGTGGCAACGGTGACAACGGTGACAACAGTGACAACAGTGACAACGGTGACAACACTAAAAACGTTGACGACGGTGACAACGGTGACAACAGTGACAACAGTGACAACAGTGACAACGGTGACAACAGTGACAACACCGACAACACTGAAAACGGTGACAACAGTGACAACAGTGAGAACACTGACAACGGTGACAACGGTAACAACAGTGACAACAGTGACAACGGTGACAACGGTGACAAAGGTAAAAACGGTGACAACAGTGACAACACTAACAACGGTGACAACGGTGACAAGGGTGACAACGGTGACAACAGTGTCAACAGTGACAACGGTGACAACAGTGACAACGGTGACAACAGTGACAACAGTGACAACGGTGAAAACAGTGACAACGGTGACAACAGTGACAACGGTGACAACGATGACAACGGTGACAACGGTAACAACAGTGACAACAGTGACAAAGGTGACAACGGTGACAACAGTGACAACAGTGACAACAGTGACAACAGTGACAACGGTGACAACGATGAAAACAATGACAACAGTGACAACAGCGACAACAGTGACAATAGTGACAACTGTGACAACAGTGACAACGGTGACAATAGTGACAACCGTGACAACGTTGACAACAGTAAAAACAGTGACACAAAACTGAGAACAAAACTGAGAACACCGACAACACTGACAACACTGACAACGGTGACAACAGTGACAATGCTGACAATGGTGACAACAGAGAACAACAGTGACAACGGTGAAAACAATGACAACAGTGACCACGGTGACAACGGTGACAACAGTGCCAACAGTGACAACGGTGACAACAGTGATAACAGTGATAATAGTGATAACGGTGAAAACAGTGACAACAGTGACAACAGTGACAACGGTGACAACTGTGACAACAGTGACAACTGTGACAACGGTGGCAACGGTGACAACGGTGACAACGGTGACAACGATGACAATGGTGACAACGGTAACAACAGTGACAACAGTGACAAAGGTGACAACGGTGACAACAGTGACAACAGTGACAACGGTGACAACGAAGACAACAATGACAACAGTGACAACAGCGACAACAGTGACAATAGTGACAACGGTGAATACAGTGACAACCGTGACAATGTTGACAACAGTGAAAACAGTGACACAAAACTAAGAACAAAACTGAGAACACCGACAACACAGACAACACTGACAACGGTGACAACGGTGACAATGCTGACAATGGTGACAAGAGAGAACAACAGTGACAACGGTGAAAACAATGACAACAGTGACAAGGGTGACAACCGTGACAACAGTGCCAACAGTGACAACGGTGACAACAATGATAACAGTGATAACGGTGACAACAGTGACAACTGTGACAACAGTGACAACACCGACAACACTGACAACGGTGACAACAGTGACAACAGTGAGAACAGTGACAACGGTGACAACAGTGACAACACCGACAACACTAGGGACCTTAAGATACCGTGGACGCGGCGGTAAAGAGAACGGACAAAGCCTGGAGCGAGGACGCTGCCACCTTCGCGGGAAAAACAAATTAAGATTGAGCAGGTTGGGTTGAGTGCTCGCCTGACGAGAAAGGATATAATGCTTTCGTGTTTTAATTCCATGACGTCTTTTAGAAAAACTCGTGAAGTCTTCCTTGATTGATACCTTAACGATCTTTTATTGGAGGAAAAATTTGTGCTGCCGGCTATGACTCCAGTTTCTCTAGAAAAAACCCACAAATTTCTTCGAGGGAAACTTGAGGGTATGATCGGAGTTCAGGTTATCAGCTATTTGTTGCCAGACTTTTTCGCTTTCTGTTGCTCTAGATCTTGCTTTAAGACGATATGGTCTGCTATGAGAACTTCCCGTACTAAGGCGAGATTTTGATCTTCAGACCGCTCCATCGCTGAACTAAAAGTGAACAAAATAAAATTATAAAAAT